TCCATCGGGCTGGAAAAACATTCTGGACGACCAGCACGGCAAAAAGCAGAACGAATATTGACTGACGCTGTGCTTGAGGAGACGATGTGCACACAAGCTTCGTCTAGAGAGACGACATTTTGAGAAAAACAATGTTTGCACGAAGCAAATGGTATGGTTCCATCTGCTCACATTGAAGCCAAGTACGACTGTTACTCGTACTGATGATCAGAATTCTTCGAAAATCAAGTTGCTGGTGGAACACTTAGTGACGCAGCCGTTCGCTACAAGCTTTATTTGCTGAAGCAGCCATATTGTTACGCAAGCACTGTTATAAAGGCTCCATACGAGCAAAAACATTACAATAAATGACTGGGAGCTGTGATCGAACTATGCGGAAATATGCATAAGGAATGTCTGCAATGCAAATGGATGAATGTCGTGGTATACCACGACACTCCGGCGAGGGGCAATAATGAACTACAAGATCCATAGTGAAGAGAATGAACTACAATCACACAATCAATGGGATATCGTTCAATCTGCCGTTATACCAGGTAAATGAAATAATCAAAGTCGACACGTCATTAAGTAGAGAATTAACAAACATCGAAACACAATTATCTGAACTGCTACACAGCCGTTGCGATTGACAAGAACGATACCATTAAAAGGCAATCGTACGCCAGCATCGACTGCCGCTCATCTTCTCCTCAGCCAACGTTCGGTAGAATTCGAGCTGTAATCCGCGGCTCCAGAAAACGACACAGATTCAGTACCGAATGAATACGATGGTGCTTGGAAGGCAGGCGATCAGTCAGACGAAAGCAGCAGCGAATACCAGAGTTTTGACGACATCAGATAATGCGACGTCAGTGGGAATGCCAGTCGACTGCACGGTTGTTGACGACTACAGGAGCACTGACGAGTCGGCGGAAGGAGGGTCGAACAGGAATACTAGTTGGCGACGACGCTAAGAATGCGGAAAATGCACTGGTGCCAATACACCAGTGCATTCTCTGGGGCGAAGGGAATTTAGAACTTCCTTCTTTTTAGCGAAGCCGTGGATTGAGACAATTTGCATGGACAAAGCAGGACATTATGTTCTCTGCCACAGTAGGTGCAGAGTATCCCACAGTCCTCTCGATGACGAGGCTGTAGACAGCGATTGCAGAGGTCAAGGTGGCTCGCTTGAACTGCCCGCGATACGGCATCGGGGTAACGGCAACATCTGCCCGTGGGATGGCAGTCTTTGCTATCCATTATTGGACAGAAAAGGCAGTTCGATTTTGGCTGCGTTCTTTCCAATAGGAGCTCCACTTTTCGGTTGAGAGTGTCAGATTGGCAAGGAAGCATGTCAGCGAGGGCATCGATCCTGGAATTTAGGCCGACAGCGACGGCGTTCAGTTGCTCTTTCAGGTCCTTAACAGCCTCGACGAGAGGTTCAATGTGCATCGCGACGTCCACTTCGTCCATGCTAACGAAGAGTGGATTATCGCAAAGCTCAGCTTGCTTTGTTGCAGAAACGATTGTTATCTGAGAGTGACATCTAGAAGTGTTCATCGTTGCTACATTCTATTTGAATACTGTATGAGACTACGAAATGACTAGATTAGAAGCTATTTGATCTCCGGTGTCTGTCTCTTCGTTGCCGTTCAGTGGTGCTTGATCGTAGAGCGTATCATAGCGAAGAACCTGATCATGATTTTGCAAGCTATTAAGCTGATGAAGATCGCAAACTTCACAACAATGGTGAATAACTGACCGATAAGTTTGAGGGCAGTCAGAATAAGTACGGGACCCATAAAGTAGGTGGCAGCCGCGAAGCAAGCAACGGTGCTAGCTAGTAGGACAGCTGTTTTCCAGTGGTTTTTTACAGCTAACACTAAAGGAGTGAGGTCTGGGAAAAGCCACTCACGGTAAAAAGCTGACGGATTGGTCCATGCTCTGACGTGTGAGCCAAGAATCTCATCTGCGTTGCTGTGTGGCAAGTATTCCAAGATTCTTCCGTAGCTCAATCTGGTTATGTGATCTGCGCATTTTGCCTTGCACTCTTGCAGAATTATAGCCCTTTGGAAGTCGAGTGATATTACCGAACTCTTGTTGGTGAAACCACATTCAACTCAAAATAATGGTCGCCGCACTCGAGTACAATCCATGTTGGAGAGGCTGTGTAACAATAGGTCCTGAGCGAAGCGCCTTTTAGGCAGCTATAGCACCCGCTGAGATTGTGAAGAAGGATGATACAGCTTTGCGAAGTGGCATGTTCGACGCTGTTCCTGATGAAGTTCGCCTCTACAGAGACAGTCATCTCCTCTCGTCTGGAAATGGCTATTATGCTTCCTTTCCCGTGGGTCAATTTCACAAAAGGCGAAGCAACAGGAACTTTGTTGAGTT